AGGAATGAGCATGAGGAGGCGGAGGAGAAGGAGCAGGAGGGGAAGAGGGAGGAGGAGGAGGAGGATGAGGAGGATGATGAGGAGGAGGAGAAATCATAATAATAATAATAATAATAATAACAATATTAATAATACTAGTGATAACATTTATAATAGTAATAGTCGTAAGAATAATAATAATAATAATAATAATAGTAATAATAATAATACTAATCATAAGCAATGTAATCTTTCCACGGACCATCATAATACGATGAAGAAGACAAGTAATAACAATACTAAGAAGAGGAGGAGGAGGCAGAGGAGGCAGAGGAGGGAGGAAGGGGAGGAGGAGGGGGAGGAGGTGGTTGAGAAAAGCCAGCGCCCGCAGTGCCTGCGCCAAAACAGCGGCGCGCAGGCGATGCCTGCTCCGTTTCACTTTTCCAAAAGGTGAAATGGGACAACTCTTGGCCAGGCGCTTTCCAGTTTTACGTCTGAAGCTGGGGACCAGCATGATATCAACACTTCATATTGCAACCTCTTGCATGAACACAGGTTGGCCGGCAATCTGTTTGGTTTGCATGTCGTGTACCACTAGGCGTACGATTATGTGACGCATCTGCATATGCCGCCCAAGCGCAGGTTTTGTAAACATGTGTTATCATGCCATACCACACCTAATCACATACCAGGGTAACACATGCTTGTATGCTAGAGGTTACGCGCGCGCACCTTGCATTAGCACGTGCGCATGATCGTATGTTTGAACACGTGTCATCTCGCATGGCCGCACGTGATGCTCCCACGCACCGGTGCCCCTTCCTGCGACGGGTGGCGCGGCCCCCTGGTATGGCAATGCCTTCGATATGCTGCTAGAACTGCGTGGCGACCCACTCCCCTCCCTGCCGCGCACACCTTGCCCACCCTCTCACTTCTCAGTCTCATCATGTTGTAGCCCCACACGGGTGGCATCCCTGCGCCCACACAAGACAATGGCGGCGGTGCCGGCGATCGCGTCAAGAGGCACGGGCGACGTCTGCACCCTGCTGATTGGTGCGCTTCTGCGGTGCCCGCGCCGCGCCGCGCGCGGTGCCTGCGCTGGCAAAGTCAGGTGCCCGCAGTGCCCGCGTGAGTGCAGCGGCGCGCAGGCGATGCGCCTGCAGTGTCTCATTCGGTGAGACAGGAAAACGCCTGTTCTAATCTGCTCGAATCCAGGCGTCTCAGGAGGTGGTTTCACAACTAGTCGGGCGTGCGCCTTCGTCCATCGGTGCGGAATCTTCGTGCCTTGCCGCACGGGTATAGCCCCCTTGACGGGAAGCGGACTTGCCCGTGGACGGGCTCTTTTTTTGTTGGAAGAATATGAAGACAGGAAAACGCGGGTAGTGGGGTCGAGCACATTTTTAAGAAACCTCGTCCCTAAAAAAGCTGGGCCGCGCTTTCTTGACCCACTTGCTGGGGAGCTGGCCAGGTTTCGTGAGACGGCGTGTCCTTCCAGCGTGGCCAGACAAGTGTGCCCAGGTCCGTGTGAAGGAACGTCCGGGAAGTTGGCCCAGGTTTCTTAAGAGATACGTCTTTCGATCCTGGGCAGCATGTTCTTCCACGTCCCAGCAATCTCCAAAAACGCGTGACAACGCCACCGGGATGCTCCCCCGAGCCTCTGGGGTGCACGGCGCACCCGCCGCGGCCCGCTCCAGGTGGCTGCTCGTCGGCCCAATTGCTGGCTGTGCGCCATCGTGTTCTTCGTGTGCGTCGTGGTCGTCGTCGTCGTCGTCGTCGTCGTCGGAGTCGTCGTCGTCGTCGTCGTCGTCATCGTCGTCGTCGGCGCCGTCGTCTGACCGTGATATTGCCGACGATGAGTCTGATGACGACGGGGTCTCCCCAGGTGTTTAGAGGTCCCCAGCGGTCTCTCGCGGTCCCTGGAGGTCCCGGGAGGCTTCAAGAGCCCAAGCACGTCTCAAAGATTTCGAGACACGTTCGTCTGCTTTCCTTCGCTCGGGGTCTCTGTGCGAGGTCTGTTTGCCCAGGCCCGCTTACGCACGCGCGAACGCGTCATCCTTCGCCGTACTTCAGAACATCCTCCTTCTCCAATTTCTCGTCTTCCTCCTCCTCCTCCTCGTCGTCGTCGGCGTCGTCGCATTCCTCCACCCTCCTGCTCCTCCCAGTTCTGTGCGCTCATGTTCCCCCCTATCAGTCTGATTTTTGGCATCTACTCTGCCCAGTGTATCTCGTCACAGTCACTCGTTGCGTTTTGCGCGCCATTGGAGCGAAGATGTAAGGTCGCTTGGATGTGCGTTTCCCATCGCTCGTGTGCATTAAAAAAGCTTCAGAAGACGACGACGACGACCTTCGACGGTGTCGGTGACAGCGATGGCTTCGGCAACGGCAACGGCGACGGCGACTGCGACGGCGACGGCGACGACGACGACGACGGCGGCGGCGGCGGCAGCGGCAGCGGCAGCGGTAGCGGCAGCGGCAGCGACGGCGGCAGCCGCAGTGGCAGTGGCGACGACGACGACGACAGCGACGACGACGACGAACACGAGACTGGTCTCTGGAGGTCTGAGGTCCATGGAGTTTCCATGGAGGCCTCCTCAGGCCCCCGGAGGCCTCAAAGAATGGCCGTCCCAAACCCGTGAGCGGTGATGGGGTCAGGCAGCGAGCCCCGCCGGGTGCTCACCGCGTTGCTTTCCGGGAGCTACTTGGAGCGGTTTTCCTTGAACAGCCCAGCCTTTGCCCCTACGTACCCCACCATCACGCCCACGCCGACATGAACGAGACAGGCCCTGAGGGAAACGGGTCCTGAGCTGCTGCCCCGCTCTTGAACTCCCCGGGCCCGCCATGGGCCCCGGCACGGTCAAGAGAACGGTTTGGGGTGAAGAGCTGCTCCTTGGGAGGGCCTCGGGACCAGGGCTTAGCTCCCTCGGGATCCCCTTTCCTTCATGCCAAGAGGGCGGGGAGGACCTCTGCCTAATTATCCTTGATCGGGGCTCTTCCTCCTCCTCTTCCTCCTCCTCCTCCTCTTTCCACCCTGCCCCTTCCTCTCTCTCTCTCTCCTACTTACTTCCTTCTCCTCCTCCTCCGCCTCCTCCTCCTCCTTTTCCCTCTCCCTTCTCTTCCACATCCCTTCCTCCTCCATCCCTTCCTCCTTCCTCCCACAATCTAGTCGTGGCCGAGGCTCGCCGCGGCCAGAAAAGCCCCTTCGCTCCTTGCTCAGAGTTCCTTATGGTAGCAAGATGACTGTACGTCCCTCCGACAAGCGCCCGACAAGCGGCGTCTCAATTGGTTTGAGACACCTTCCCCGACCTCTCGGCTTATTTCTCAGGACCAGTCGTTTTGTTGACGGTCCCGAGGCCTGGTACGGTTCCCGAAAGACCAAAAAATGTTGAAAACCACGTTCGTCTCGATCAGTTAGTTTGGGGAGAAGGCGGCAGCGGCGGCGCGGACGACGGCCGCGGCCGTGGCCACCAGCCTCGGCGCGCGCGCGCGCAAGGTGCTGAGCTTCCGGTCCGTGCAGTCGCAGTGGTCCGGTCTGCGGGCGGTGTCTTCGACGTCACTGGACACGCCGCGCGTGGGGTGTTCGCCAGAGGAGGAAAAGGTACCCCAGATTTCGTAATCAAAGGGAGGGGGTCAGAGCCCTCCCAGACGAGAAGTCTTAGACCCCCCCAGACCATCCATGAAAGGGCGGCCCTTTGCCCAGACCCCCCCGAGCCCTCCAAGACAGCTCAAATCAGACCCCCCCAAAATGTGACCCCCCCCACTTCATTATGGAATCCGGAGTACCCATGCCGCTACCCTCTGCCCGTTTTCCCTTTCTTGGGCCTCCTGGGAGGCCCTCGACGCCACCGCTGGATTCGCCTCGAACTTCTGGTCTGAACGCACCCCGGGAGAGGCCTGGGGAGCAGCGGTATCGGTACCATTTGGTTTCCCCAGGTGTGTCCTCGTGAGTCCGTCCCTAGAGTGCGTTCGCGTGCGCTAGCGTCTGGGTGGATCGGTGGGGAACCGCCGATGTAGCTTCGATTAGCGTAGGTTTAGCGTCGATGAGCGTCGATTCGCCAGAGCCAGCAAGAATCGGAGGCCTGTGGGGTAAGTGAGAGGGGGCGGGCCTTCCCAGAAGGCTCGGAATTCCTACGGTCTTCTGTGAGAAGTTCCTCAAGCCCTTCCCCGAAGATGCAGAAAACTCCCAAGAAGGCCGGAGGGCTTCTGAGATGCCCCGCCGCCTTCTGAGAAGGCCTTCCCCTTCGCGTTTTCCCCCCCTTGCTCGCCGCCGAAAGATGGCACGGGAGGCTCCCGTGAGCTGTCGCCGAGAGGGATGGAGGGCGTGGTGGGCCCGCGCCTGCCCTGGCCTCTTCGCGTCGCGCGGCAGCCGCGGCGGCAGCTTTGTGCTCGTCCTCCGTCGTCTCCCTCGCTCCCGCTTGGCCGCTGCCCTGATGGGCCCTCTTTCCACCACCACCATAAGTTGGAGGGGGAGGGGGTCCTCCTCCTCCTCCTCCCCATCCATTCTCCTCCTCCTCCTCCTCCTCCTCCTCCTTGTCCTCCTCCTCTTCCTTCCCTCCTCCAACGTATGGTGGTGGTGGTGGTGGTGGTGGTGGAAAACGGGCCCATCATGCCCCTCTCCCCCGCCCCTCGAAGAGCAGAGAGCGGCATCAGCATAACCCGTCGGAGCTCCGCGCGGATTCCTTGGCTCGGCGCTGGGGCCCCCCCGTGGCGGCGCCTCTGGCGCCGTCCCCGGCGCGCTGTTCAGCACAGATCGAAGAGAGATCCGCGCGGGCCGTCAACAGTTAATGTTTATGCCCTTTCCCTTCCTCCTCGCTCGCTTCCTTTTCCACTCTTTCTCGTCCTCCTGTTTCAACCGCTGCGCCAATCACGCGTGGCAGGGAAGGAATCTGCACCCCCCAAAGGAGTAGTATCAAAGACGTAGTGGTCGGGTGTCGAGGGTTTGGGAGATGCATGTGGAATGGCACGCGGGCATATGAGATCGAACATTCTTACACTTGTTGTTGAGATCTCATTTCTAAAGAACGACGAGGGTTGATCATCTCCCTCCAGTGCCCATTATGCAGTCCAATTGAAGTGCCCCTCCTGGGGCTCGCACTTGTTTTTGTGCACGGGAAAGTCTTGCGCGTCAGATTGTGTTGTTGGTCCACAGTTTACGAGAGCAGCGGCTTCCGCCCGATACCTCTTCACGCCGAATTCCGGATCGCGCTCTCGCGCGGGACTTCTCTACAGCTTACCCAGGAGTCGCGCTCTTGCTTCTGCCGCTCTTTTTCTTCCTGCTCCTGCCCCCCTTCGGTCAATCTCTCTCGTGCTCCCTTTGTTCCCGCCCGCTCCCCCTCCGCTCTGCCCGTCGTCGTGGGCTGGGCGAGGGGCGGACGGCCCAGAGTCGGTCGACCTGCCGTTGCGGGCGCGACGCCCTCCCCGCCTTCGAGAGGCAAGCCTTGGATAATGACCTCCTCCTTTCCCAGGGTCCGGCTGGAGCCGAATAGGGGACGTTTACCAGTCTGGAACATATCCCTATCCTTATGCTGGGCACCTCCTCATCACGATGCCAATCTTGGGGATTGCCTTTTTTTTGAGAGCGAATCCCTAAGATTGTCATCGCCTTTTGGCATGTCAATCTTAGGGATCGGGATAAGTTCGAGGCTGTTAAGACGTCAGGTGCAGCCCTTCCGTTGCCGCATTGCACCAGGAGGGGGACCTGGCCCAGGCCTCCCAGGTGGGGTCGGGATAGACGGGGCCGGAGGATCGCGCCGTATTGCCGATGCATCGGCGGTATATCCTGGCCTCCCAGGTCTGTCACGGTGACGTTCGGGGGGCGAGATATCGTGGACCCGAAGAGGCTTAGTTTCCATACAAGACGCAGGTGACACGACAGACTGGGGCTTCCGATTCGTGAGCGGGAAACATCTCCACGTCCATGGCCTCGCGGTTTGAACTCTCCCGTCGCGCCCCGGTGGGTACAGGATGGCTTTGCGGATGCCCCGCGCGAAACGCATCCACAGGATCGCGTAACCATGGGATCGCGCTTCGGCCAGCCACAACGAGGGCATGGACATAGGCATGGGCACAGATTGGCTCGTCAGTCGCGCCGTCTCCCCCATCCTCGCCTCTGCAGCCGTCCTGGCCCGTGCACGGCGCCGGACATCTAGGCTACACCGTACCCTACATACGAAGTAAGCGCGTCGCATCCGAGGCGCTTGGCGATCTCACCGCCCGCCCCCCCAGTCCAGCTCTCGCGGCCACGTCGCCGAGGCGGGGGTGGCCTAAAGAGCGGCCTCTGTGGGGGCCTATGGGGGGCCCTCTCGAGGGTACCTTGTGGATGCCCTGCGGTCTTGGGGGCAGTCTTGGGGTGGATGGCTCCAAAAAGCGTCGGAAGAAAACGGGGTCGACTGCGCCGAGATTGGCGCGTAAGCTGCCCTCGTCTCCAATGTACCGTGCCGCGTTGGTGGCCCGCGTAAACCACCGCGTCAGGTCGCTGTGTCATCTCGCGTAGGACCCGTTCTTGATCGTCGCTCACGCTCCTGGGCCTCCAGAGACTCGAACAGATCAAGTCGAATGAGTTCTGCCTGCTCGGCCTCTTTGAGGCCCCGTCCTGTACCCCTGGGACTTTCAGACAACGGCTCGTGACGAAGAGCTACTCCCTGGGAGAAGGTCGAGAGGCCCGGGGCCCTGAGACTCGAATATATCGACTCGTCGGAGGTCTGGGTTCAGCCCCCAAGGTGTTTATCGTCGCAGCGCCGCAGGGGAAGTCCGCGCGCGCGCTCAGGCGGTCCGGGCAGCTGAAAAGCGCGAATTTTATTGGCGGCAGGAGGAGGAAGCAAAAGCAGGCGGAAACGCCTGCGAGGCGGGAGGAGGGGAGAGGAGGGCGCTCACATGGCAGGCGTCGCCGCGGAGCGGCCGGGGCGGCCAGCCAGTGCTGCACCCCTGGCAGCAGCGGGCGCGGGGTGGCGTCGCGGTTACATCCAGGGGCTGAGGCAGGGGCCCCCCCGAAGAAACACGCCGCGGCTGGACCTGGTCTCTGCGCTGGAGGGCGGGGGAGAGGCAGGGGAGCGGGGGGGCGCGGACGGAGCAGGTAGGCCTGGGACATAGAGGCATTGCTCTGATCTGGAGCGAAAGAGGGGTCCACACGCCCAACCGCATGCCTGAACACGGCGCCCCAGTCCGCGGCGAGACCGGCCGCGTGGTATGATTTGTTTCAGAACTTGATTGGTCTGTGCTCTGGCGTGGGGTTTTGGGCCGTGTCGTGTTGAGGTGTATAGTGATCGCCTCCCCGACGCGTCGCTCAAGCCTTTTGTGGTCCAAGCCGCTCGTGGGGGTCTGCAGCCAGCCCCGTACCGCACGAGTTGCTACCCCGCGAGCGGCTGCTCGCCAAAGGCTTCTCAAACACGTGGCGCCAGGCCCTCGCCATAGAGCTCGCCTTTTCGTTCCTCGGCGACACCAGCCTCATCGAGTGGGACCTCGAATCCCCGATAGTACCATACAGTGAGACCGACCCGTTCCTGCGTTGCGAGCGCGTGAGCCCCCGCCTTAGCTTCAGCAAGTACAACGGTGCACCTATGGAATCGTATGTATCGGAGTCTGGGCGGAAGCCAGGGCGAGGTACTGATGCTGATGTGGCACTACCCCAAGAAAAAGGGCGACACTCGCTTGATCTTCGTCCGTCTCGACCGTACTCTCGGCTCGGTGGACATCAAAGATCGGTGTCGGATCACGGCGAAGCGGCAGCTCCACGTCGCCTACGCACGCTTCCCCGCCCCATCCGCCGACGAGAAGACGGCGGCGCTCGAGGCGGGCACCGAGAAGCAGATAAACATGGAGTTCGGCGCCGCCCGCTGGCGCTCCTGGGGATCTTGCTGGGCGTGGCTTCGCAGTGGGGCTGTCTTCCTGTGGTCGACCTCCTCGTGGGGTGCGACGGGCGGCCTGCTCTTCTTTACTTGGAGGGCCGCCGTGCACTTCCAGGCCTTGAGCTGGGCGAAGTGGGCCGTGGAGAAGATGGGTTACACCCGCTCGCTCCTAATGGAGTTGGACGGTTTCCTGGCCTACCTGCGCGACTTGTACCAGGACGGGCGCCTCGAGCTCCCGCTGCTCACCCACCCTTTCTTGATGGCCTTTACCCCCGTGCTGTGGAGCTGGGCGTGTCGCTGTGGCCCCCCAAGGTTCGGGGTGGCCGCTCCTCTTGGCTGCGACGTGGGCAGCGACGGGGAGGCTGGTCACTCGGTTGGCTCGGAGTCCGAATCGGAGGGCAGCAAGGAGGTGACGGAAATGAGGAAGATGATGCAGGATTTGCTGGACGAGGTGCACCGCGACCGTCGCAAGCGCCGCCAGCACGACTCTGGATCAGGCAGCCCTCGTCGCTCAGAATTGTCGGCATGGGGGCCAGATTCGAGTGCGGGGAGCTGGAGGCGTATCCCGTTGTCCCCCGCAGTGAGTATGGCCGTCGACCGCATGATGGATCGGCTGCAGCAGCTCGAGAAGATCATCCAGGCGCGCCGCCATATTTCTGAGCCGCCAGGTGGTCGGCGACCACAGCTCGGCGGCAGCTGTAGCGGGATCTTCCGA